TCATTTTCTCTACATTGAAAGGCAAAATGATTTGAATTATCATATAAGGATTCAATATAATTAAATAAAACATTTGCTACATGATGTATGTAGTTCAACAAGTCATCACTGAATCTACAGTTACTAAAACTCTAAYCAATACCTCTAGGTACAAGAAATCTTCATTCAATTCCACATAAATCTCATGTTGTTTCCTACCCTTCAACATGGAATCTCTCAAAAGAGTTATATACTCATTCATTTCTATTTCTTCTCCCCAAACTCAGTTTAATGTGGCTTCTCTCTTTTTCTCTTTGAAAAGTTTTCACTAAAGTAATCTAGACCTCCCTCCATGCCACTAAATTCAGGGGACATGTTCAGTCCATTCACTGTTGACCACTCTTACTACTGACCTTGGCCTCAGTGACAAAGCACTCCTTCCTTATGCCCATCATGAAATCCATGAAATCCTCCATGTCTCTTAGGTGTCCCCAGCTCCTTCTCCACTCTGCCCCCAGTGATCTAACACTTTCGCTCTCACATTATCACTTCTGCAYGGGGATTCTGAGCTCCAGAAGATTCAAAGCACCTTAATACCAGCATGTCATAGTCTGAACTTACATGCTTCTCCCAAGACCTGGTTGCTTTCCAAAATGKCATAACCTCAGCAATTGTCACCACAATCCAATGAGAAGACTTGGATGTGCAGAATTTATATACATAACTTAAAAAATGTTTCAGTAGATGATTTTTGTAAGATCTCCCCTGACAAATGTTCTCCCTCTTTCTTTACTATACCGAAACTCCAATCTTTTATAAAGCCACCCATTACTATTATATGGTCTGTTCTWAAGTTTTCTTTTCTATATTATCCTTATTTTTTCTGGTGATTTAAAATTAGTATTAAATATTTTCCTTTGTAGCTTTTGGAGTATCTTTAAATATATGAATTCTAATTTTTATCTATAAAGTTTTGCTTTATTTTAATAGACTCATTTAGTTGTTTTAGAATAAATTCAAAATATTTTCAGCTACATTTCATTTAAAAGATCACTGAGAATACAGGCTGTCTCTCCATTTAAAAGAAAATTTCCTCAAAGCACAATGTGTAGGCCCCTGCACAAATGCTTTGCGTTAACAAATTACAAAACTATCTTCATATAAATGCCACCTTTTATTGCTGAGACTTTAAAAATTTCTAAATCTAATAAATACTAATGTCTTAAAGAGAAATTCTGAGAGCAAYTTTTAAAATTACCAATCTTTGTTTAACAGACATAAATTTTTCTAGGTTAGGCAAGTTTTACATTTTTCATATCCATTGTCATGACACAACTGCAATAATGAATCAAATAAATGGAAAAACATTTCAAATGGAAAAGATACAGCAAGTTTTCTAAAGGCCAATGAGTTTGACATAGACCTATCAACCATGTGACTYCCTCCCAACTAGCTTCTCTGTAAACCAGTTTTCCTCCTATCTCAAAATTACCTCACTAAAAAAATAATCAGAAGCAATCTTAGTTTCAAAACCTTTTTTATATTATCTCTCTTTTGATAACTACTGAAGTTGGGTGGTTGGCACTTGAGGATTTATTGGGTTTTTTTCACATTTGTGGACATGTAGGTTTGCAATTTTAGAGAAGCATGTATCAATTATATCACAATTTTATGTTTACTGTTCATGAAACTGTCATTCTCATGATCTCTTTAAAATTATGACTAGAAGTTTTAAGTATTGCTTGGGCAAGGGTATCTGTTTCCTAGTCTACTGACTCTCTCACTAGTACTTCTAATGTGCCTATAAAAATTGATCCAGCTACATACCTACCCAACTTTACACATTGACTGTGGGACCTTGACTAAGTTTTCCATTTCCTGTTATTTCCTGTTATTATGTATTTTCATATTCAATATCTAATATAGGTTTGCCTTGGTTTTYTCACCTCTAAAATATAGATAATAATAATAATACCTACTTTAGAGTTCTATTGTGATGACTAAATGAAATAACACATATAAAGTGCTTAAAATAGTACCTGACACATCGTAAGTATTTTACTCAGTGATTTCATAGCCATGTCTCACCTTTCCTCCTGTTGCAAACACCTTACTGTGCTCCTGGGTATAACCATTCCATTAGTCAACAAATTCACCTCTTCTTCCCTGTTTATCAACTATTCTTTCAACTGTCATCTTCCTCTGACATCATCAACTTTTCTCTCTCCTAGACCATTTCTAACATGCAAACATATTATATTGCCCATGTCAATTTTTAATGACTTSTAAACCCGCATCTGATTCCTAAGGTGTTCCCAGTTTTTACTATCACTTTATAGCAAAACTACTCAAGAGCTATCTATATCTACAGATTCCTCTTCCTCTKTGGCACAACTGGGCTTTTACTCCCACCTCTCTACTGAAGCTGTTCTTAMCAAAGACACCAGTGACATCCAAAGTGCTGAATCCAGTGGAATTCTATGCTTCATGTAAACTGAACTATCATCACTTAATTACTACTTCCTTAATCAACTTAGTTCACCTGGTTTCTATTTTGGTCCTCCTATCTTACTGACCTGCTTTCTGCATGATCTTTGACATCTTTCCAACTTCCCTCTGCATGATCTTTGACATCTTTCCAACTTCCCAACACTGGGGCGGTCAAGGGTTCAGTCCCTGTATGACTTCGCTATCTATACTCCCTAAGAAATCTCACTCCTTCTTCTCTAATACCTTTTAAAAGTATATGCAAACAGTAATGGCTCCCAAGCTCATATTTCCTTCCATATATTTCTCT